ATTTCAGAGTTTTTAGTATGAAAAACTCTGAAAACTTTGACTCCATCTGTAGGGGCACTAATGAGCCAAGTTCTTTTATTTCACTTTTAATTGACCTAGACCCTAGAGTTAAACAATGTATTAAAGTTTTGTGCAAATCAGACTTTGTATGTGCAAACGGGAGCAAATTTAATATTGTCCAAAACGGCCAAAAAAAGGTCACAATTTGCAGCTCCCCTGTTCGAACAACGTTTCACTGATGAAAAATCGCCGAAGTCATTTTCAAGGTACATGTGTTGAGATGATGTGGAGCGATTTTGAGGCGAATCGGTGAAACGGCCGAGGAGGAGTCGCTTTCCAACCGACATGTATGAAAATGATTGCTGTCCATTTTTCCATTTTGCAGTGAAATTTATGGGCTTCCTGTATGTCAGAGGGCGGGGCCATAATAACATTTTTTTCATGTCTTGACTTGAGGAACATGTGTACCGAATTTCATGGCTCTACGACAAACTTGACCTCCGAAAATCCCATGGGGGTTATTATTAGGCCCGAGCCCCGAACGGGGAAAGGGCCTATTGTTTTTGCTCGAGAGATGTCAAATTCTGCACTTTGAGCCTTAATTTCACCCCCTGAACATGCATGAAAAGTTGTAAAATTTTGACCAAACATCAGACCTGGTGAAAAATTTGATATTTTGGTGTTTATTTTTATGGGACTCAAAAAATGCCAGAACAGCGCCACCTACAACAGCCAATGGGAGTTTCAGAGGTCAAGTTTGTCGTAGAGCCATGAAATTCGGTACACATGTTCCTCAAGTCAAGATACGACCGAAATGTTATCATGGCTCCGCCCTCTGACAAACAGGAGGCCCATAAATTTCACTGCAAAATGGAAAAATGAACAGCAAAAGTTTTCATACATGTCGGTTGGAAAGCGACTCCTCCTCGGCCGTTTCACCGATTCGCCTCAAAATCGCTCCACATCATCTCAACACATGTACCTTCAAAATGACCTCAGGGATTTTTGATCAGTGAAACATTGTTTGAGCAGCGGAGCGGCAAAATGTGACCTTTTTTGGCCGTTTTTGATAAGATCAAATTTGCTCCCGTTTGCACAAACAAAGTCTGATTTTCACAAAACTTTAATACATTGTTCAACTCTAGGGTCTAGGTCATTTGAAAGTGAATTGATTCAAATTGACACATTAGCGCCCCCTACAGACTATTTCAAAGTTTTAGATGGGCATTTTCAAATTTATTTTTTTCAAAACGTTTGAAATTTTGCACATAAATCTGTTTTGCCCTCTTGATTCAAAAAGTCAATCGGGTCCAAGGCTTATTTTTTACCCTGTTGCCGTGGCGACGACAAACGCTCCCCATTCATTGCAAATGTACACCTCACACAAACATCAAACCAGCCTCGGCCGTTTCACCGATTCGCCTCAAAATCGCTCCACATCATCTCAACACATGTACCTTCAAAATGACTTCAGGGAATTTTGATCCGTGAAACGTTGTTTGAGCAGCGGAGCGGCAAAATGTGAGGTTTTTTTTGGCTCTTTTTCACAACATTAATTTTGCTCCTGTTTGCACAAACAAAGTCTGATTTGCGCAAAACTTTAATCCATTGTTCAATTCCAGGGTTTAGGTCAGGTTAAAGTGAAATATTGGAAATTGGCCCATTAGCGCCCCCTACAGACTGTGTCAAAGTTTACATGGGGAGCCAAACCAGCTCTACTTATCATATTCATTACAATTTGACTAACATTCTTCTATGGCTACGGAAACAAATCATCACACGGCGGTGCCACCTCCTTTTAGCGGTGCTGCGTGGTACGGTGTGGTGCGGCGTAGTGCGGGGCGTTGTGGAGCGGCGCGTTGCGGCTTGGTGCGGGGCGGCTTGGGGCGGGGCGGCTTGGCGTGGTGCGGGGAGTGCGCTCGGTGCAGGGAGTCGCGCGGTGCGGCGAGGGCCGTTCGACGCCGCTTGCGGCTTTAATTTACATTGAGTTCTATGGGACTTTTTTCTGGGTAGCCCGCGTGATTTTCGTTTGCAGTACCACGGGCGCCCCCTGTGCCCATAGGTGGAACAGCTGTTAGCTAGTAATACCCTATCCAGTAATTATTATAGATCCATGATACAGATGGACAATGCTAACCTGCTAGCTTAGTGTAGCCCAATAGACAAAATGCTTATGGACTAAGTCTGGCTCCCATTAACTCCTCCAGCTCAGGGGTTTAGCGCCCGGAGTGATCCTGGTGTTTTTATGCCAATATGAGTCTTATAAGGATTGACCAATCAGAGGGCTTCATTCGTTGGAGGAAAGCCCAGCTTGCCTTAGCCTCCGTGTTAGCAACATGTGAGTTAGCATCAGAGAAAATGCCCATAAAAGGAAACTTGCATAAAACGTTAGACCTATGAGTAGTAGCAGTAGTAGTAGTAGCAGTAGTAGTAGTAGCAGTAGTAGTAGTAGTAGCAGTAGTAGTAGCAGTAGTAGTAGTAGCAGTAGTAGTAGTAGCAGTAGTAGTAGTAGCAGCAGTAGTAGTAGCAGTAGTAGTAGTAACAGTAGTAGCAGTAGTAGTAGTAGTAGAAGTAACAGTAGTAGCAGTAGTAGTAGTAGTAGCAGTAGTAGTAGCAGTAGTAGTAGTAGTAGTAGCAGTAGCAGCAGCAGTAGTAGCAGTAGTAGTAGTAGTAGTAGCAGTAGTAGTAGCAGTAGTAGTAGTAGTAGCAGTAGTAGTAGCAGTAGTAGTAGCAGTAGTAGTAGCAGTAGTAGTAAATGTGCAGCGGTGATAATGTGCTATACAATAAAAGTGACATTGACCAAAGCATCAGAACAGTCTGAGCTGAAGTGGACGGAGAAACTTTTCCATAAAAGTCCAAAAGACGACGTCATTTTTCTGCTTTTCTCATTTTCAGTGAATCACCTCAAAAACTGCTTTGTCTCAAAACTATTATTACAGTTTCTCACAGTTCACACACGGAAAGCCTCCAGAGAATGGTCCTGGTCCTGGATCTGGTCCTGGTCCTAGTCCTGGATCTGGTCCTGGTCCTGGTCCTGGATCTGGTCCTGGTCCTAGTCCTGGATCTGGTCCTGGTCCTGGTCCTGGGTCTGGTCCTGGTCCTAGTCCTGGTTCTGGGTCTGGGTCTGGGTCTGGTTCTGGTTCTTTACAGACCTCATGTTGCAGATACTGGATAAACACGTGTGCATCACTTTGGTATTTATTTATATATAACATATTTACAACAGGAGCACAGGGACTGGCCTCCTGCTGGGACTCTGAGGAGCACAGGGACTGGCCTCCTGCTGTGACTCTGAGGAGCACAGGGACTGGACTCCTGCTGGGACTCTGAGGAGCACAGGGACTGGCCTCCTGCTGGGACTCTGAGGAGCACAGGGACTGGCCTCCTGCTGGTCCCAGAGTCAGGACTAAACATGAGGAGACAGTGTTTCAGATTTATGCTATAATCTGGAACAGTCTTCCTGTAAATGTGAGCCTGAGGTCTTCTCTGACCATGTACAGTATAAATCCAGGTTAAAAACAGTTTGTACAATAATGGACCTAAACTGTGAGAACAACATGGATCTGGAGCAGGTTAGTTACTGTACACTGGAACTCCCAGAGCAGTCATTTTGACTGCTTTTCCTTTTGGAAGCGTAAAAACGTATGAACTTGTTGCGCTTCAAGACTCTTGTTTCTAATAGTAGTTTATTTCTCATTACCTATGGGAACATATGGGAGTTGTTTAAAACTCCCAGAGCAGTCATTTTGACTCCATTCATGTGAATGATGTGCACCACCAACAAGAAACCAACATTCTATGGCAGTTCAAGACCTTTCCAAGGTTCTGGTCCTTGAAAGGGTCCTGGACTAGTCTGGGACTGGTTTGGGACTGGACCTGGTCCTGGACTGGTCTGGGACTGGTTTGGGACTGGACCTGGTCCTGGACTGGTCCTGGACTGGACCTGGACTGGACCTGGGCTGGGCCTGGACTGGACCTGGTTCTGAGCTTGGTTTTCCATCAGAGCAACACATGTTTTCTCGTTACCGTTTGGAAGCGTTTCAAAAAGACTAAAATATGAACTTATTAAATATAAAAGTAAGAAACTAAACAAAATTCAAATTGAACAGACTTTTTAGAGATTTTTTTAGCATCGTCTAAAGTTGAGTCCTCTGCAGAAGTAATAACATAAGTCTTCATACCCTTCTATGTGATGAGTCTATTAAAGGCTGTCCACTTCCTGTGAAGCCACAGCTGCCCTGGCGCTTCCTCTTCGGCTGAACTATCTCCATAAAAGGACTGGACCATTACATCATCACTGGCAGCTTTTATTTCACAAACAAAATGGACTCCACATCTTCATGATGAACTCATGTATTCATGTGTGTCATCCAGGAAACTGTTTCACAACCATCATCTTTAAAAATGAATTATTAATCATCAAAATAACTGTTCAGTGACATACAAAAGATTAGAACCTTTAATTATCCCATAGTGGGGAAATTCCTGTGTTGTAGTGCACAAACAGGACAGTTGTAGTAAAAGAGGGGTTTCATCTCTATAATAAAATAACAAAAACAGAAACTGCGGTCTGCCGCCTCCACAGCTTTACTTCATCATAAAGCTCCCCGTCTCCTCCCACTGTGGCACAATAACACACACTTCAGACGTTTACGGGCCACAAACCCAGCGCCGAAATGACAAGAGCAGCCCCTGGAACTGAGAACAAGCCCCATCTTCACTTGTAGGAGTCATGAGTCTAACCACACACCTCATAAAGCTTAAATAACAGCAGCTTTAAAGGGAGTTTGTTTTAGCACGGCCGCCTGCGCCTGGCTGCAGTAAAGATGCAGGATGACAGCAGGTGCCAAGGAGTCTCCAGAGAGTTTGGAAAAGTCTGTGTGACCTTTTAAGAGTACACAACATGAGTTCACTTTAGTTTGACTTTTATATGAAACCACAGTGGAATCTAAAGAACACAAAGCCAACTCCAAACTGCGCAAAAGCATGAAACGACTTACATCCTCCATGATTCCGTTACTTTACGCGTCCGCTCTCTCAGGCTGCTTCTACGGCTGCAGAGGTTTCGCTTCCCTGCTGCTGCTGATGGTACTGCTGATGGTACTGCTGGTGGTACTGCTGCTGGTACTGCTGCTGCTGGTGGTGGTACTGGTACTGGTGGTGGCTGATTTGACTCATCTCCGACAGGTCTACCCAGAAGTGAGTCTGGGTAGAGTTTTGCGTCAAAGGAGGAACCGTGCAGAGGTTTTCAGTTCGTGATCCGGGCTGACGCGCCTCCTATGACCAGTTCCTTCATCTGTGCGTTCAGCCCAACTCTAGAGAGAGAAGTTTGAGAGAGAGAAAAAGTTTGGTTTCCGGTTCGTATTTCAGTGTTGAATAGCGAGAAAGCAGGAGGAGCGAAACACACCCAGAGAAAAGAAAAGCCTTCTCCGTATGGTCTCCGGGGGGTCTGCGGGGGTCTCCGTGGGTGTCCGTGGGGATGGGAGTGGATTGGTACCAACGCAGTCGCAGGGAGATGAAGTTTGTGTTTGTGAAGTGCCTCAAAGTTAGAAACTAGGACGCGTGCTTCTAGGGGCCGCCAGTAGATGGTGCTGTTTCGGCCTCTTCCCTTGATTACCACTGGACAATAACAAAGGCAGACTGTGTCTTTCTTATTCTGTAATTACTGTCCACTGGTTTGAACTGTGTTTGGATCCACAACTCTGCAGAGCAGAGTAGTGTAGAGTAGAGTAGAGTAGAGTAGAGTAGAGTAGAGTAGAGTAGAGTAGAGTAGAGTAGAGTAGAGTAGAGTAGAGTAGAGTAGAGTAGAGTAGATCAGAGTAGAGTAGAGTAGAGTAAAGTAGAGTAAAGTGCAGTAGAGTAGAGCAGAGTAGAGAAGAATAGAGTAGTGTAGAGTAGAGTATAGAATAGAGTAGAGTAGAGTAGAGTAGAGTAGTGTAGAGTAGGGTAGAGTAGAGCAGATTAGAGTAGAGTAAATTAGAGTAGAGTAGTGTAGAGTAGGGTAGAGTAGAGCAGATTAGAGTAGAGTAAATTAGAGTAGAGTAGATTAGAGTAGTGTAGAGTAAATTAGAGTAGTGTAGAGTAAATTAGAGTAGAGTAGAGTAGAGTAGATTAGAGTAGAGTAGAGTAAATTAGAGTAGAGTAGATTAGAGTAGTGTAGAGTAAATTAGAGTAGAGTAGAATAGATTAGAGTAGAGTAGATTAGAGTAGTGTAGAGTAAATTAGAGTAGAGTAGAGTAGATTAGAGTAGTGTAGAGTAAATTAGAGTAGAGTAGAGTAGAGTAGAGTAGATTAGAGTAGTGTAGAGTAGATTAGAGTAGAGTAGAGTAGTATAATGGTGCTTTCAGACCGCCAACGCTGAAATGCACATTCTCTAGTTTTCAGACGCAGGGGTCTTCAGACCAGAGGTCCTGGCGCGCGCCGGAAGTGGCGGAAGTAGCTGGCGGGCTCTGATGGTAACAAAGTTTAGCTAGGGGGTTCTTGTGTACAGATCTTCTCCAATAATGCAGTTTTGCAGCGTGTCTGTGTTCAGAAACCTTCCACGAACTTTATATAACAGTAGTATGTGTTCACGGAGGTGCGCATTAAGTTTATTTTATTATTAAACGGTATTTCTGCATCGGCGAACACACTCGAAGCAGTTGCATAAAGTCCCGGGAGCATGACAACTCACATGTTAACAAGCACTATGTCCCCCATTGTTAACCCTGGTTTAGACCTGGTTTAGTCCTTATTTAGCTCCTGTTTTGACTGTTTACGAGTATTTTCAGTCTGCTCGCTCAGTCCGCAAATGTCCGCATGACCACTTTACGGCTCTCTGATTGGTTGCTGCACGAACGTCCCGAGGAAATGTTGAGCAAAATCCATCTCCGGCCTTCCTCGCCTTCGACTTCCCAGCCCAGTCCGTGCGTGCATTCCGAGTCGTTTGTGCGTTTTGACGCTCGAACGCGCGTCACCATTGACTTTGCATTGAAAGCTGACGCTTGAAGCACTCTTCTTCAACTTAGCATTTGGCTAAGGTCCGCTGCATCTTCAACCCTACGCTCTAGGCTAGGCTAAAGCAGTCCTCTTAGTTTAGTACAGTATATGGTTAGGATGGTAAGACTCAGGGAAGGCTAAATATCTCAGACTGTCAGTCAAGCTGCATAGGGAGTCAGGTTACTGGAGAAGTATGGTAAGTTGAGCACTATCCTCTCCTCCTTCCTACTTTATCTGTTTTGCATTATTAGGATTTTGACTGTAGTTTGTTCATTGCTATTCACCCATTGTCTGTTTCATGGTACGATCAGAATCAGAATCATTTTTATTGCCACGTAAGTAACAGGAGGTCACAGACTAGGAAATTGCTTTGGCTTAGTGCAACAGTCAAAAAGAGATAATAAAAATAAGAATAAAAAACACTTCTAAAGAATAAATTTAAATTTAAAATAGAGTTACAGTTACTATTTACAATATACAAGTGCACATGGTGCACACAATGTAAGGTGACAGCAGTACAGTGAAGTAAAGTGACGTATGATGGGCAGTAAAGTGACTTTATAAAGGGCGGGGGGACAGGTTAAGAAGTGTTCAAGAGTTCAACAGCAGAGGGGAAGAAACTGTTCTTGTGGCGGGAGGTTCTAGTCCTGATGGACCGCAGCCTCCTGCCTGAGGGGAGTGGTTGGAATAGTCCATGTGCAGGTGAGAGGGGAGTGGTTGGAATAGTCCATGTGCAGGGTGAGAGGGGTCGGCTGTGATACGACCAGCCCGGCCTCGAGCTCGGGCGACGTACAGGTCCTGCAGCGATGGAAGGCTGCGGCCGATCACTTCCTCTGCAGAGCGCACAATGCGCTGTAGTCTCTGTTTGTCCCTGACTGTGGCTCCAGCGAACCACACGGTGACGGAGGAGGTGAGGATGGACTCGATGATGGCCGTGTAGAACTGCACCAACATCTGTGCAGGCAGCTTGGCTTTCCTGAGCTGCCGCAGGAAGTACATCCTCTGCTGGGCCTTCTTGATGAGGGAGCTGATGATCGGCTCCCACTTGAGGTCCTGGGTGATGGTGGTGCCCAGGAAACGGAAGGACTCCACAGAGGTGATGGGGGATGTCCATCACGGAGGGTGGGGGTGGGGGGACAGTGCTCTTCCTGAAGTCCACAATCATCTCCACTGTCTTCTGGGCGTTCAGCTCCAGGTTGTTACCACTGCACCAGGACACCAGCCGGTCCACCTCCCTCCTGTAGGCGGACTCATCGTTGTTGGAGATGAGTCCAATGAGGGTGGTGTCGTCCGCGAACTTGATCAGCTTCACGGAGTCGTGGCTGGAGGTGCAGTGGTTGGTGTACAGGGAGAAGAGCAGGGGAGAAAGAACACAGCCCTGTGGGGCTCCTGTATTTATAATCCGAGAGTCCGAGACATTCTTCCCCAGACGCACTCGCTGCTTCCTGTCCGTCAGGAAGTCAGTGATCCACCTGCAGGTGGAATCGGGCACGTTGAGCTGGGAGAGCTTGTCCTGGAGCAGGGATGGCAGGATTGTGTTGAAGGCAGAGCTGAAGTCCACGAACAGGACCCTGGCGTAGGTCCCCGGGGAGTCCAGGTGCTGTAGGATGTGGTGGAGGGCCAGGTTAATGGCTTCGTCTACAGATCTGTTGGCTCTGTAGGCGAACTGCAGGGGGTCCAGGAGTGAGGAGGTGAGGGACTTGAGGTGGGAGAGAACCAGGCGTTCAAATGACTTCATGACGACAGACGTAAGTGCTACAGGTCTGTAGTCATTGAGTCCTGTGATCCTGGGCTTCTTCGGGACGGGGACAATGATGGAGGATTTGAAGCAGGCCGGGACATGGCAGGACTGCAGAGAGGTGTTGAAAATGTCCGTGAACACAGGAGTAAGCTCACTGGCGCAGTGTCTCAGAGTGGCCGGAGACACGTGGTCCGGGCCAGGAGCTTTGCGGGGGTGCAGCCTCAGGAAGAGTTGTTTAATCTCTTTAGCGGCTATTGTTAGGCTGGGGGCAGGGCTGATGGGTGGGTCGTTAGAGTAGTGGGGGGTGGGGGAGGGAGAGGTGTCAGGGGCAGCATCAAAGCGACTGAAAAATAAGTTCAGATCGTCAGCTAGCTTGTGGTCGTCAGCACAGGGGGGGGCTTTGGGTTTGTAGTTGGTGATGTCCCGTAGGCCCCTCCAGACAGAAGCAGTATCGTTGTTACCAAACTGCTCCTGTAGTCGTTCTCTGTGCCGGGACTTGGCTGCTTTCAGTTCTCTCCTGAACTGATATTTAGCTGCTTTGTAGCCGCTGCGGTCCCCCTCCCTGAAAGCAGACTCCTTTGCTTTCCTGAGCTGCCGGAGTTTAGCAGTGAACCAGGGTTTGTCCTTGTTATAGATGACCCTGGTCCTTGTTGGAATGATGCTATCCTCACAGAAGTGAATGTATGACGTCACAGTGTCCGTATATTCATCCAAACTATCTGTGGCAGCTCTGAAAAGGTCCCAGTCTGTAGATTCCATGCATGCGCGCAGCTCTTCCACAGCTTCATCAGACCACACTTTGGAGCTCCTCATTGCAGGTTTCGAGAGCTTTAGTCTCTGTCTGTAAGCAGGAACCAGATGTATCATAGAGTGATCTGAGAAGCCGAGGGCTGGCTTGGGAACAGCGCAAAAAGCTCCGCGCACGGTGGTGTAACAGTGATCCAGAGTGTTCTCCTCTCTGGTCGGGCATTTGATAAACTGTCTGTATTTGGGTAATTCCTGGCTCAAGTTTCCCTTATTAAAATCCCCCAGGATAATAATCAGAGAGTCCGGGTATAAACGTTCCATACACAGTACTTGCTCTGCGAGTGCGCGCTGAGCCTCGCGCGCGTCCGCGCATGGCGGTATGTAAACAGAGGCAAGAATGAATGAAACAATTTCGCGCGGAGAGTAATATGGTTTACAATGAATGAAAAGATATTCCAGAGCAGGAGAGCAGTGCTTGGAGATCACTGTCACATCGTTACACCAGTTTGTATTGACGTAGAAACACAGCCCTCCGCCTCTGCTCTTCCCTGAGAGCGCACAATGGCGATCCGCGCGAAACAGCCCAAAGCCCTGCAGCTCCAGAGCGCAGTCCGGGATCCGCTCATTTAGTCAGGTCTCAGTGAAGCAGAGGACACAGGATGTGGCGAAGTCCTTGTTTCTTCTCATGAGCAGGCTGAGTTCGTCCATCTTATTGCCCAGTGAGCGTACGTTGGAGAGAAAAATGCCGGGGAGAGCCGTGCGCGCTCCTCTCCTCCTAAGACGCACGAGCAGGCCTCCGCGCTTTCCCCTTTTACGGGCCCACACTTTTTTGGCTAGAACATGAACTAAATCAGCTGCAGATGCCAAGAAAATAGGCAATAGGTCCATGGGAACGGTGGGTCGGATGTTCATAAGTTCCTCACGGGTGTAGGAACAGCCAGATGCGCAGTTAAAAAGTAAAAACAAAAGAAAAAGAGAGCAGCAAAGAGCCATGTCGACCGTACGAGGCGCCATCTTTGTATGTATGATGACGGGATCTCTGAGCCTGGCCTCCTCCATCTACACCTGCGGACTGCCCCGCCCGACCCGCCTGGGAGTGCTTCAGTCCTGCAGCCCTTTTTTCCCACTGGGTTTTTTTATTATTTTCTTTTATTATTTTTTTTCCTTGCCGATGCAGGAGGGTCTGTTGGACAGTTAGTGTCCAACTAGAAGGACTGTGGTGATGATCCAGGACACTTTAACATTCTACAACATGTATGGACATTTATCAACATGTGTTCTATATTCTTTATGTGTTTTAAATGTTGATTCTCTGATCTGTGTTGGTGATTCAACGGTTTTGTTAAGTCCTCTGAGATGACTTCTGTTGTGATTTAGGGCTATTCAAGAATAAATTGTATTGTATTGTATTTTATTGTAACGCATGATCCAGTCTGAATGCGGCATAAGGCTGTTCTGAAACACTTTCAGTTTCCCAGAGCTACAACTGTGCTCATCATCATCATTATTATTGTTATTATTATTATATTTATATTAATATTATTATTAATCTACACTATCACAATACAATAGTGTCCATAGGTAAAATAAAATATCCAATACACACAGATATTGCATATTTAAAAGGAAATTTGTACCTGAAAATGTCTTTGTAATTTGTAATAACGTCCTTTCTGTCAAAAGAAGGATTTCTGTTTATGGTCAGGAACCATAGGAACCATAAGAAACGGAACCTTTGCTTCATGTTTGAAACAACCCGGACTTTACTATGTCCGGACCCGTGTGACTTTGTTATGAGCTCGGGTTCTTACACAGAGTTTGGGAGAGTTACGCGGGCCATGTTTTCACCTTTCAGCTGGAAATGTCTGAAGCCGCGTTAGAAGAAGTGTCAGTTTTATCCGCCATCTTCTGCGGCGCGGGAGAGTTCGAGCTGCTGCAGTCAGGTACCCGGATGTTTACTACGGTCATATAAAGCAGTCAGGTACCCGGATGTTTACTTTACTACGGTCATATACAGCAGGCAGGTACCCGGATGTTTACTTTACTACGGTCATATACAGCAGGCAGGTACCCGGATGTTTACTTTACTACGGTCATATACAGCAGGCAGGTACCCGGATGTTGTCAGGTACCATCTGTATGCAGATGTGTCATATTTATTTACTTAGCTCACCTTTTCATATAACACTAGGACTCCGAGAGGTACAGATGTTACATACAAAGGTACAGATGCTAAAGACAAAGGTACAGACGTTACAGACAAAGGTACAGCTGTTACAGACAAAGGTACAGACAAAGGTACAGATGTTAGAGACAAAGGTACATATGTTATAGACAAAGGTACAGATGTTACAGACAAAGGTACAGATGTTACAGACAAAGGTACAGATGTTACAGACAAAGGTACAGACAAAGGTACAGATGTTAGAGACAAAGGTACAGATGTTACAGACAAAGGTACAGATGTTACAGACAAAGGTACAGATGTTACAGACAAAGGTACAGATGTATTAAGGACACAGTATGATACGGTCAAAAGGCAAAAGAAAATATAGAATACAGAATATATTGATAAAGAAAAAGAGAAGCTGCTGAACTTTATGAAGGCGTGAGCTCCAGTAATTCCATCATTACTGAATAATAATAATAATAATGATGTAATGAATGAATGAATAATAAACTAAATCTGTGTAAACTGTGAATGTTAGAAATAAGACCCATTTGATCAAATCTAATGTGACCTCCTGCAGCTGACGGAGTGACTGTGCAGATCTCCTCTCAGGTGGGAGGGGGTCAGGCTGTTACTGTGCTGTTCCACCTCCCCCCTTCGTACCCGCTCCTCCCCCCGGACATCTCCATCTCCTCCTCTGCTCTGTCCCGAACCCAGTGCCAGGACCTCCGACTGAAACTGCTCCAGTTTGCCTCCACTCTACCTCCACAAGCGATGGTCCATCAGCTCATGGTCCACTGCCAGGTCAGTCCTATTTATTTAATACGACACATGCAGCAAAGGGCCAGTCCCTGTGCTCCTCAGAGTCCCAGCAGGAGGCCAGTCCCTGTGCTCCTCAGAGTTGCACAAACAGAGACCTTTAAAGTCTATTCTCTGAGCCTCAGGACAAAGACCGGACACCAGGACTAATGTGATGGTACTTCCTGGTTCTCATCAATCTTTACTGTGGCTCATAACTGGATTTTCAAAGACAATATGAAAATCCTCCAGGATGTTATAGCGTGGTGAGTGTGGCACTTAATGAGCTAGAGGAGTTATGTAGGAGCCAAAATGTACCTTTCCCTAGCCACAAGGTGTCGCTGTGGGCGTTATGTGACCTGAGCCCATTCTCCTATAAAAAGGGCAGAATTAGAGGGCACAGGTGCTGCTAGGTTTGGAGGTATACTGTTTCTTACCGTGTCAATTGCTGTGGAATGTATTATGTTATTTGGATTAATGGTCATAAGGGCCAATAAAGAAACCTCTAATACACTATTTGGACTGTGGTTTTTTGGAGACACGCGTTTGGGAAACCCTTAAAATCTTAGCAGCCAAGAGGCGATCTACAGGCAACATCTTCGCCTCTACAAGTTACTTTTCAAAGGACCCAAACGGAGGAGGAGAAAAGTGTTGTCCATGAGCACTTCCCTAATAGTGTTCATAGAGCTAGCGGGTTAGCATTGTCCTTTTTTCTTGATAAAACAACATACATGTGAATCTTCTTCCCCAGAGTTTGGACGTGTCTCCGGCTGCCTCCACAGAGTCCACACTGAGACCAGAGCAGGACCAGAGGGTCTCAGTCCTGTCTCTGGATCACATCAGATCCAGGTCCCGGTACGTGTCTTTCCTGGAGCAATGGAGCAAGCAGCTGCAGCTCGATGGGAGGTTGTTACTGGGACCAAATATTCTGGTCCTACTGCAGGGGAACAGAGCCAGCATCAAGGTACACATATACACTTTAATTATATAGCACACTGTAAAACACATTAAAGTGCTGTACAGATAAACACATTCAAATATACACCTGCCAGCTTTAACTGAACACAATTAAAATAAGGATATCCATAAATAAATATAAAACAAGAGACTAAATAAAATGACGTGGTGTTTTTATCTGTTTTAGAATCAGAAATAATAGTTGAAAATACATCATGGAGCTAGTATGAAGGAAATGCTTTCTCCTGCCACCAGAGGGAGGTCTCTCTCTGGTCTCTCTCTGTGGTCTCTCTCTGTGGTCTCTCTCTGTGGTCTCTCTCTGTGGTCTCTCTCTCTGGTCTCTCTCTCTGGTCTCTCTCTCTGGTCTCACTCTCTGGTCTCTCTCTCTGGTCTCACTCTGGTTTCACTCTGGTCTCACTCTGGTTTCACTCTGGTTTCACTCTGGTTTCACTCTGGTTTCACTCTGGTTTCACTCTGGTCTCTCTCGCTGGTCTTTCTCTGGTCGCTCTGGTCTCGCTCTGGTCTCGCTCTGGTCTCGCTCTGGTCTCGCTCTGGTCTCGCTCTGGTCTCGCTCTGGTCTCGCTCTGGTCTCTCTGGTCTCTCTCTGGTCTCTCTTTGGTCTCACTCTGGTCTCACTCTGGTCTCTCTCTGGTCTATCTCTGGTCTATCTCTGGTCTATCTCTGGTCTATCTCTGGTCTATCTCTGGTCTATCTCTGGTCTATCTCTGGTCTCTCTCTGGTCTCTCTCTGGTCTCTCTCTGGTCTCTCTCTGGTCTCTCTCTGGTCTCTCTCTGGTCTCTCTCTGGTTTCTCTCTGGTTTCTCTCTGGTCTCTCTCTGGTCTCACTCTGGTCTCTCTGTGTCTCAGGAGTTCTGTCGTCTTTTGAAAACTTCTAAAGTGGACGTGGATTCTTCAGGGAAAAAGTGCAAAGAGAGACTCATGAAAGTCCTCATGGACTCACCCTGGTCTCCAGCTCAGCCCATGTACTTCTATAGAATATATATGTGTAATATTTATGTATTTATATATGTAATCTTAATATATATGTATGTGCTGTGTCCTCAGTCCTCAGGGCTTTGAGGTCAGATGCTGCTCCTCTCTGTCTGACCTCAGGGCAGAGTTTGAGGAGGTCCATCTGACTGAGGCCTTCAGGACCATCCTGCCCTCACTACGAGCCTGAAGTACAACTCTGACCAGCTGGGCCTGGACAGAACCAGGACCAAGAGGGACTAAGGAAGCACCTGGTACTGGTTAGGGGGAGAGGGGGGGGAGGAGAGGAGAGGAGAGAGGGAAGAGAGAGAGAGCGAGAGAGGAGGGAGAGGAGAGTGAGAGAGGACCTGTTACCGGTTAGGGGGAGAGGGGAGGAGAGAGAGAGGAGAAAGGGGGAGGAGAGAGGAGAGCAGTGGAGGAGGCCCCAGAGGTCGCTCCCTCCACTGATCTCTCTAGTCTCTCTCTCTCCACTGTCGTAGTTTTTCCCATTTCTGTCTTGGGCGTGTTTTTGTTTGAGTTTTTACGTTTGTTGAATAAATAAATATTATAAGTTTCTTTGAGCTCCATCTTTGTTCATGTGAAGTCCATGTTACAGCCATAGATTAGGTCATATCTGTGGAGAGGAGAAAACATGTATGTAGCATGTAACCACATGTTCCATACCAATACATTCATTCATCACCTAACCCTGTACCTGTGTTACTAAACTGTGTCACTAAATAAGTGTATTACAAACTAAATACAGCAGAGGGAGCCAGACACATCCGCATTCATTGATTATCTTTTTAATTTAATTATATATATATATATATATATATATATAATTATACGGCTCCTCACAGCAGCAGTAGAATGCTCCATTGATTTGAATGTAATTTCAAAACGTTCTACCGGTCATTATTTTCTATAACGGACCTCTCAAAACAATAATGACCGCTGCCCTTTGGCAACGCACTCTCTGCTTGTCTTTCAAATGCGTGGATAACTCCGCAAGTAGTTCCGGCCACTCCGGAGCTAGCCACGCTCAATAAGCACACTTAAATGTTAATCGGAGAATACTTATACATATTGTTGTGTTTTCCATCAATAGACGCGAGCAGCCAGCTTTCCAGTTGAGGAAACAATCAATTTATTAAAGCAAAACAGGTGCAATTTATGGAGCTACTTGACGTCAGTAGGGGTCCTCACAGGAACCACATTGCTTGCTAATAAATGAACCATAATAAATGAGGCTGCATTTCACATCACGCTCAACACCCCCACTCAGGCTCATTTTTACAGAATACAAAACAGAGAAAAACAAAGAAAATACAATACTACATTATTGTCCAAACAAATAATATTTGAAAGTGTTAAACTTTACCTTTGTTAAGGGTTTGGTCAGCACATCTGCCACCATTTGCCCCGTCGCACAGTACTCTATTATAATTTTTTACATCAGCGTGTGCAGACCGCACAAAATGATAGCGAACATCCACATGCTTACTACGTTGTCTACACACTGGGTTCTTGGAGAGAGCAATTGTACCCTGGTTGTCCTCAAAGATCTTTACTGGAGTGTGCTGTCTTTCCTTGTCCATCCCACCCAGAAGTTGTATGAGGTACATGCTCTCTTGCACAGTAGCTGCAAGGGCTATGTACTCAGCCTCACATGTCGATAGAGCTACAGTAGGCTGTCTCCTGCTTTCCCAGGAAATTACTGGACCTTCTGTGGTCAGGCTGAAACAGTAACCACTAGTACTCTTCCTATCAGTCTGGTCTGACGCCCAGTCAGCATCGCTATAACCTTCGAGTCTAAGGCCTGGGTCTTTTCGTCTGTAACACAGTTCCTGGTCTATAGTGCCTTTGAGGTAACGTAATACCTGTTTGGCCATTTCCCAGTGCTGTTGTGTTGGCTGTTTTAGGTGCTGGGACAATTTACTGACCGCCCAGCTTACGTCGGGCCTTGTAGAGGTCATACTGTAAATTAAACTCCCAACCATTTCTCTGTAGCCTGTGGAATCAGCCATTTCAACTCCATCATCAAAATCAAACTTTTGCTCACAAGGTGTTAGTCTTTGTTTACACTCAAGCATCCCAAACCTCTGGAGCACTTTTCCAATATGTCTAGTCTGACTCATTCTAACTTCACAGATTAGCCTTTCGTTATTGGCTGTAATTAACAAGTCATCTACCCAAATTATCAAAATGACCCTTTCAGCCCCAGACTGTCGAACATAAACACAATTGTCCGCCGCATTTTGTTCAAAACCATTAACCACTAGGTGATCATTTAACAGCTTGTTCCAGTTGCGTCCAGATTGTTTTAGACCATACAAGGATTTATTTAGTTTACAGACCAAGCGTTCACCAGTCCCAGACTCTATCGCAAACCCCTCTGGCTGCTCCATATACACCTCACAGTCCATTGGGGCATGAAGATACGCTGTTTTCACGTCCATTTGATAAAGTACAAGGTCGTCTTGAGCTGCTATCTGCATCAATATCCTCACAGATGTCATACTGGCCGTTGGGGAAAAGGTCTCTTTGTAGTCAATCCCCTTTACTTGGCTGTAGCCTTTTGCCACGTATCTTGCTTTGAAAACCTCAGGCTGACCAGGTCTTTCTTTGACTACAAACACCCAGCGGCCCCCTACTGCCCTTTTTCCCCTTGGGAGCTTACATAGAGAGAAAGTTTCATTCTCTCTTAAAGAGTGCATTTCTTCTTCCATTGCTTTAGTCCACTCATGGGACCTCTCAGCTCTCACAGCCTCCGTGTAGGTTTTGGGTACACCAAACACCGCTCTATAAAAGGGATCAATGTCTTGTTCTTCCACAACGTCCTCCGTCTTACATTGGTAATCCCTGAGATATGATGGGGGTTGTCTATCTCTGCTTGGATAGCGACGTGCCCCCTCACTATCTCCTTTGATACCAGACTTTGCACCGCTTTCATCCCCTGCAACAGGGGTCTGGCGAGTGGGTGATGTACCTCCACCTGCTGCACGCGTGGGTTCGATCTGGTGGCTCTGGGGATGTACACCGATCCTTGGTGGTGCTGTATACAGTCCAACATCCTCTTCGAAGACTAGTGAAGCCCTTACTGACACTGGACAGTCAGATATATAGTGACGAAGAGGATGTTGGACTGTATACAGCACCATCAAGGATCGGTGTACATCCCCATCCCTATCCGTAGGCTCCAAAGGACCACATAGGTCAGTATGCACCAGTTGTAATATTTGTTTAGCTCTGCTATCAGCCTGTCTATTTCTCTTATCTACGAACTTCCCTTCCATACAGACTTCACAGCTGAAGGCAGATTTGATACATTTCCCCTTGATTTTCATCCCTTCAACCACACTCTCCAATCTGTAAACATCCTCAAAGTTACAGTGTCCTAGTATTCTGTGCCACGTCTGTATATCGTAACATCTCTTAAACTTGTCAATGTCTGCATCAATAATTGTGGAAAGATAATACAGTTTACTGTGGGTCTCAATGTTAAATCTGGTGCCATCCGTAACACCCATCCAGTTATCACCCTCTCTGAAATGCAATTCCACCCCGTGGCCTGTGGCTGCCTTCACTGAGAAAATGTCTTGTGGAAAAGTAGGTATATACAGGGCTTTCTTCAGTAGTGCTGTCACTTTATGTCCATGGCTATCTACCAGAGAGACCTCTGCATCCCACCTGGCGCCTGCCACTCCGGTGATCTTGGTACCGTCAGCTAGTTCAATCACATGGTTTACAGGCTTAAAGTCTTTATCAATGTTCTTAAACTTTTTAAAGTAATTTATCATATGCGATGTAGCACCACAATTGACTAGTAAACCTTTAACATCGATTGCCCCCTTTGAACTCCTGTTGTCACTCAATTTAAAACAATACGACCTGTGGTCTTCATAGTAGTCCTCGTCTCCATCATCTGCTGCTTCTCTGTAGGCGCTCCAGGGGCAGGGTCTTTCTTGGTCACTGGCGCTCCTGTCGGGTCGAGCCCAGCGCTCCCAGCGGTCTGTGGCTCCTCGTTGCTGCTCTCCCCCCGTCGCTGCTGCCATGGAGTCCCGCTGTCCCCCTCGGCATGGCGCGTCGCTCCTGCGGTCCCGTCGCCTCTCCTCATACGCGCTGGGACAATTCCTTGCCACATGTCCCATTTTACGGCATCTGTAGCACTCGATCTCGGCCGAATCCTTCCTCCGCTCTCTGCCTCGTCCTTGTGGCCCGTAGGTGGCTGCCCCCGCTGCTCTCATCACATTGTCTTCTGTGATATCACTTGGCTTGTATCTTTCAGTGTCCTCAAAATTTCTCAGCTTTGTCTTAAATGAGTTGGGCAGACCTTTCACCGCCATTGCAACTTGCAGACCATCACTAATGTTCTCTTCTGCCCTCGACAACGCTGCAAATATTGTCTCGGCTCGAACAATGTAATCTGTGACAGTCTCGTTGCTTTGCATGTGGAGGGCTGACAGCGTGCAGTATAAACTCACTATACGCGGCTTTCCTTTGCCTGCATAATGATGGCGAAGTATCTTCAACGCCTTGCGCCCGTCTCCGTCCGCCTCTCTCATAATCAGCGACAGACTTTTATTGTCCAAAACCTGGACCAACTCCGCATACGCCTGTCCATTCCTCCCAGCGTCTGCAACTCGTGCATCCTCAACGCCCTCAGCTGCCCCATCGAACACCGGCTCAGTCTTCAGTGTCCCGGCAAGCCCACGCAACTCCAAATGCGCGAGGAATCTCGTCTCCCAAAGTTCGTAGTTCCTCTCATCACCATCGAACAGCAGCCGGCTGAAACGTTGGCCAGACAGCGTGCTGGGCCCATAACCTGTTGTGTTTTCCATCAATAGACGCGAGCAGCCAGCTTTCCAGTTGAGGAAACAATCAATTTATTAAAACAAAACAGGTGCAATTTATAGAGCTACTTGACGCCAGTAGGGGTCCTCACAGGACCCACATTGCCTGCTAATAAATAAACCATAATAAATGAGGCTGCATTTCACATCATGCTCAACAGTAAGTCAGCTGCCAATTCTCTCAGAAGGTCTTCCAGTTTTCCTGTGTAATGATCTTTCAGGATTAATAAAGTTGTGTGACCCCAATTTTTTGCGTTTCCGGAAATTAAATCCCGCGTTAATTGTGACGGAAGTGCAGGTTTAATCATGCTAGCCAGCTGTTCAACCATGCGCTCTATAGTCTTGGGCTGTGGTCTGTCTGGTCCTGGGGCAATACTCTGGAGGTGGTGAGTGATTTTAATCACATGGTGTAGTTTTTTGACCAGCTGCCTGACTTCCGGGTCTAGTGGTTCTTGTTGTTGTTGTGGTAAGTAAGGTCTGTCTCTCGGTGGTTGTTGTTGTTGTTGTTGTCGTGGTGGGTAAGGTCTGTCTCTCGGTGGGTTGTTTCTCCCGTACTTTTTATTGATGTGGGGTCTCTTTTGGTAATTAACAAAGGCCCTGTCACGTGAGTTATGGGGCCTGTGATGGTGCCAGTTCCTGTCACGTGAGTCATGGGGTCTGTAGTGTTGTGTGCGGGGTCTGTGATTGTTATTATTGCTCCTGTTGTAGGAGTAGGAACCCTCCCGGGGTCTATATCTGTTAGAACGTGAGCGTGGTTTCCCATAACGCGTCACTTCTGCATATGACCTAACTCTAGGTTCTGGTTCTGGTTCCTGGTGATTGGATCTGGAGCGAGGGCGAGGCACTGGCCGATAATGAGCTCTGTAAGGAGACCGCCTCCTGAAAGGAGGGGTGTTGGCACGGGCCCTCTCCCTGCTCCCTGACCAATTTCGGGTCCAATGGTCCCGGCGGTCACCGCTGTGGCCCTGCAGGCGCCACCGTTGGCGACCACCGTAGACCCAAGGTCCGTCATGCGCCATACTCCCAGCCTAACTGTAGAGTATGTGGTAAGTATGGTGTAGACACTTGAAAACGACGTTTCGACCGTTTAGGTCTTCCTCAGGTGTTGTGTCTACGAGCGAACTGAGCGAATGAATGAGTGAGGAGGGTCAGAGCCGCTACTGATATAGCTGGGCTCCGCCCCCTGCGTTTCCATTGGCTCATTTCAAATTCAAAATGGTGATACTTAAAACATGTCATTTTTACTTGAACAAGGTTGTTTTTAACTTAAGAAATAACAAATAAAAAAAATAAAAAATAATAAAAGAAATATGAACTTTAAGGTTTTTTAATTGAACTTTATTGTACTAGAATATTTTTATAGCAGGTTTTGTGAAGGTTTTTATTTGTTTTTTTGTTGTTTTTATTTATTTTTTGTTTTTTATATATATATTTTTATTTTTTATATACTTTTTTTGTGTGCACCACTTGTGCTACAAGTTTTTAATTCCTTTCTTCTTGTGGTTTCTCTTTTCAGAAAAAATTAAAATAGCTGCACCCAGTGTGACAACCGTCCTGTGCCCTTCCTGGTTTGCACCGGAGGTCCAAGTGGGGGTAAAGGTAAGGTGTGGGTCTAGTGTGGGTCTAGTGAGTTAAGTTTGGGTAGGAGTCTAACTTGGTTAAGTTTAGGGTCCGGGTTAGGGTTAAGGTTAGGGTCAGGGTTAGGGTTAAGGTTAGGGTTAAGGTTAAGGTTAGGGTTAAGGTTAAGGTTAGGGTTAGGGTTAGGTGGGGGTCTAACTGGTTAAGTTTAGGTCAGAGTCTAACTGGTTAAGTTTAGGGTTTAAGGTTAGGGTTGGGGTCTAGTTAAGTCCATGGGGTGTCTTTGTTCCCAGTAATTTTATCCAGTGACTGGCTCTGTCTCTCCTCTCTGTGTCTGTCCAGGTACAATTAGCCTGGAGTCCAGAAAGCTCCAGCGCCTCCAGGCCGTGCACCAGGAAGTGAGACAGGCAGAGTGAGGAGGAGGAGGAGGAGGAGGAGGCCTCCCTCCTCTCCAGTGCATCCCTGAGTCTCCCCACGTGTTCCCCAAGTGATCTCCCTGTTTCTCCCACATACTGTAATTTACACTTCTTGCACCTAATCAAATAGACCACATTATGTGTCTGTAGGCCAAAGAACTGGGTCACTTTATAAAGGACACTCTTAGTCGTGTTGTGCACAAAAGTCCTTCGAATCAGAATGTTTCCCTCCCTGCTGGTGGGTTCTGATTCCTGGAGCGGCTTGAGTTTGGCTGTGACCAAACGGTCCTTCAAATTTCTATTCCTCCTGTGTGCTGCAATGAATCTATAATTTGGTAGAAGTCCTTGTGTGTGAATGAATTTGTCATAATTGTCCCTGAGTCTGGGTCTCAATAATAGTGCAGTCTCTGAATAGGTGGATATGAAAGGAATCACTTCCCCCTGGGGTTTGTCCTTCCTCTCCTCAAATGTGGAGAGGCAGATTCTCAGGAAGGACCTGGAGTATCCTCTCTTCCTCAAAGCCCTAAACAAGGTATGTACTGCCTCTCTGAAGTCCTTGTCCTGTGTGCAGATGCGTTTTTGAAACGGATTAATTGGGATTTGACTATTCCAGCAAATATGTGTTTGGGATGGTGACTTTTTTCTCAGCTTTCTGGTGATTTCAATAAAACTTCCCTCTACTCAACTGGGGATTACAGAAGAACTAAACAAGATAGAAACAAAATTCTTTTTGCTGGTGAGAGTAGACAGCCCATTCTTTCAGAATCTAGTTTTAGATTTCAGATAGTCAAAGTACACAATATTCTGTGGGTCTTGAAAAATCAGTAAAAACCACCAGAAACGGCTGGCAATATGGGAGTACCTGTTTTGAAATGGGCTGGCAGTCAATGAGTTAACACAGTGTCCTCTCAGTCCTGGTCTGTTCTGTGTGTCACACACACAGATGTTGTAAATGTCTCATTGAATATAGATGTCCTCACTAACACAGTGTCCTCTCAGTCCTGGTCTGTTCTGTGTGTCACATACACAGGGTGCTGTATGTGTAATACAGTTGTTACCTGTTGTTGCTTTATTGGAACAGATAAATCTAGGGTTAATGAACATATTTGCAGTTTGAGGTTGTGTAGTGCTGTGGAAGAAAATGCTTGTCCCAGAGTTATTTACCTGCTGTTTACAGCTCTAGTGTATATTGCTCTTGTGTGTTGAGTGGTATCATTACAATTATCCTAACCAAACATGTCACAGGAATAGAATAGATGTGTTTCACTAGTTTATCTTAAAATTTCCTTCTTTCCATCTTTTCATCTCCCTTGATGGATTTGAAGAATAATGGGGGCTGTTTAAATGTATATCTTAACAAGGAATAGGGGGTACAGATTATCTTTGCGGTCTTAAAAGGGGGCACAAGCACTGGTATATAGAAACTTCATCTATTTAGATGTTTTTGTCTTTTGTTGTTTTAATATTCTAATTCATCTCTCTTAATGTTTCAGTTGTTTCATCAAGGCGGATAACAGCAGTGAAGAAGCATCTGAGGCCTCTCATTGGTTTAACTGCCACCATTCAGCAGTGACATAAAGTCCAGGAAATGGAACACACCGTCTTGGAGAGTAGATCCATTCAAGATATTACAGATTTTGAGGTTTGGCCTTAAAGAGGTATTATAAGACTGAATTCTATATGGACATTTAAATGTTTGGTTTCACCTTTATTTTCCGTGTAACTTTCACAATGCTGTTCTGTTCATGACCAGATTAATGAGGTGAACAAATACAGCTCAGTGATAAAGCTAACATTGTTCTTTGTGTTTGATATTATGGCTTTTCTATCTCAGGTGGTGGCGGTCACTGGTCCATGGCGTGTCCAGGTGTGTCACTGGTCCATGGCGTGTCCAGGTGTGTCACTGGTCCATGGCGTGTCCAGGTGTGTCACTGGTCCATGGCGTGTCCAGGTGTGTCACTGGTCCATGGCGTGTCCAGGTGTGTCACAGGTCCATGACGTGTCCACGGCGTGTCACTGGTCTACGGCGTGTCACTGGTCCATGACGTGTCCACGGCGTGGCACTGGTCCATGGCGTGTCCGGGGGTGTCACTGGTCCATGGCGTGTCCAGGCGTGTCACTGGTCCATGGCGTGTCCAGGCGTGTCACTGGTCCATGGCGTGTCCACGGTGTGTCACAGGTCCATGACGTGTCCACGGCGTGTCACTGGTCCATGGCGTGTCCGGGCGTGTCACTGGTCCATGGCGTGTCCGGGCGTGTCACTGGTCCATGGCGTGTCACTGGTCCATGGCGTGTCACTGGTCCATGGTGTGTCCAGGCGTGTCACTGGTCCATGACATGTCCACGGTGTGTCACAGGTCCATGACGTGTCCACGGCATGTCACTGGTCCATGGCGTGTC